AGACAGGCTTTGACTGAGATGTAAGGAAAACTATATTATATAAACTTAACAATTTTTTGAATAATCTATCGACAATTTTCAAAATTAATAATGTAGTCTCTACGTCACTGACTTGACGTTATCGGACAGGTCACATAGTCACAGCAAGGTTGTTACGAGGCTCTCGTGGCCTAGAGGTTAAGTTGTTCGCCTCTCTTTCAATAAGTCACGGGTTCGAATCCGGATAGCTATGGAAATTTTTCTTCTCTAAAAAATTGTCTCCTTTCACCTCCTTTCCTGCTCTCTAGCAACGTATCGGCCACCACCAGGTCAAAATAAAAAAAAAATCACTACCAACTGAAAATGTTTGATGTATCCCGAGCGCTCGTATAATCACCTTATGCAGTTGCGAGAGCCGAAAAACGCTTACAGAAAAACAACAACAATCCCCCCCCCAACAAACACACACACACACACACACTCACACTCACACACACGCATACACGCTCGCGCGCACACACACACACACACACACACATACACACACACACACACACACACACACACACACACACACAGAGAAGAAGAGAAGAACAAATGCAAATCGCCTCTCATTAACGCAGGGTGGGGCGTAAAAAGAGCGTTTTTCAGCTGTGAAGACTTCACCGTGTGACGAGTTCACTGGTTCCCCCAAAATAGAGCCACCAGACGCCCCCCTGCAACGACAAATGTCAAAATTAATAATGTAGCCACCTGCTGCGTCATTGTCTTGACCTTATCAGACTGGTCACACAGTTACAGCAAAGCTGCTACAACAACAGCTGAAGAAACTATACAAGGCGCAGATTCACGCCCACCCGTTTTTCCCATCCCTTGCCCATTTATGTGAAATTGACGTCATCTGATTGGTAGAAAAAAGTGCGCATGACAGTATCCATTAGTGTATTTCGTGCATACTTAGTATGACAAGTAACTGTTACAGTAAATATAGATTCAATAATCATATATGTAAGCCGTTGATCTGAGAGCAATGATAATTTTAGAAATAATGCGATCCACGGCCACCTATGATTGACGGATGCTGAATGTATCATAAACATATTGATATGACGCGGTGGAATCAGGCGCTCGTCAATTTTTGGCCTTGTGAAGTTATTAGTATAATCTGAAAGCTTATTCATTAACCTTGTTTTCAATTTTAAAAATATTAATCTGTCTTGAATAGGAGTCGGGATATTTGCGATTGAGGGAGGTGGGGTAGCTTGTTTTTAGTGGAAAATTTAGAGAGAAAATGGCGCCAACATTTGGTAATTTCAATAGCTTGAGAGTCTTTTAAAACTGAAAAATTACATTTTTGTGCCTTCAATCTCTGTTTTTCCGTAAAATTCACACGGGAATGTGTTTCTATATGGACATAAAACGTATTGAGCCAAGAAACAAAAATTCGAAAAAAATTTCCTAACTGACGGAAACATGCCCGTTTCCCCGATTTCACTATTTTGACGATCGCCTGATTTCACCACGATGCCTAACATCTGACTTACATTAGTCACAGGCAACAATAAATATGCGCCTAGTAGATCGGACCATATTCTGACCCCCCACACTCTGGTCAGGAAACGCAAACTGCAATGGTATGGACACATCACCCGTTCATCCGACATTGCCAAGATGACCCTGCAAGGCAGCGTCCAGGGAAAAGGGAGCAGATGCAGACCGAAGAAGAGTTGGGGGGATACCATCAAGGAATGGACAGGCCTGGAACTGAAAATCATCAGGAAAGCTGAAGACCGGAAGGAGTGGAGGAAGCTGGTGGCCAAATCTTCAAAAGCGCCCCGACGGACATCCAGTCTACGGGATAGGTGAAGGTGAAGGCGAAGTATAGTTTATTAAGCAGCTGTTGTAGCAGCGTTTGCTGTGACTGTTGACAAGTCCGATACCATCAAATCTTTGACGCAGAATAAAAATGCAGTTGTTCCCGCATCCGGTCCGGACATTGGTGATGGCCTTGTTAGTGAAACAACTTCCGGGGTCTTCGGCAGATTGTGGTAGTCCTTTCCAGGCCGTTTTTACTTTCTCCAACTCAAAGTCAGGTACCCATTACTGCTAGGTGGGCAGGAGGGGGCGAAAAAAAAAATCCTTGTCCGCACCGAGACTCGCACCCGGACTGACGCAGAATATATTATATAATATACGAGTACAACTATATTACACTATAATGATAATTGCATTTATGTACATGTAGTGCATATGCACGCTTCACAGTCAAACCACAAGGCCACCGACACCACCATCTCTATTACTAGTACGAGTATTATACCCTCACCTTTTCTGTCTTTCTACTATTGTAGCCTACAAACCAAACGACCTTTCGCTAACAATACCTTTAAAATAAGATTTAAAAAACAACAGCAACATAAAAAGGGGTGTCTAGCAAAGAAAAAGGAAATTATAAGGAAGCGTGGGTGGGGTGGGGTTTGTAAAGCATTCCTCGTGTCTTTAGTGACTCGTTCAGCTTATTATTCTATGAGTAGATTCTAGTATGGTGTGAGGCTGCAATAAAACTCCCAAAGGCAAAAAGGTCAGACGAAGTAGCAGAGGCGATGCACTCTCCGGTAATGGAGTCCGACAAGAGCCTATTGTCGTGTGGAGATCTTTTTATCATGTGGAGTAGCTATTCCTGTTCCTTATGCTCTTAGTCTCTACCGTAATTTTGTCTGATTTGCTTTATGTTCCTTCCCCCTGTCTATGTGGCTGTGTGTCTGTGTATCTGTGTGTTCGTGAGTCTGTGTTTCTGTTGATTATTAAATGTTAAATTATTTCTTTGCTGTTTTCCAAAACGTCCAATCTACGTATTTGTGTGTGTGTGTGTGTGTGTGTGTGTGTGTGTGTGTGTGTGTGTGTGTGT